CCAGTACGTTGTTACTTCCCGCTGTTATAGAGGAAATCAACCACATTCTCCATAAATCATTGCCCTAGATGTGTTGGGTTTTTCACCAAGAAATCTTTTACATTTTTCTGTGAAGCGTTTCGATATCATTAGTTTGTTTTAATCCCCATATTTCAGCCCCGTAAAGTAAAATTGGGTTCATTGTAACATCAAAGATCTTAAAGAGTGACTTGTAACTTATATCACGAAGGATTTGTATAGTCGCCAATATACCAAATAACATCTTTTTGGCCTGGGCTGATGCTTCTCTTACATGAATAGACCAATTTAGACTGTTACTGAAATAAACACCGAAATATTTATAGTGTGTAGTCACATTCACACTTTCACCTTTAAAGGACCATTTTACATTTTTGGCAAGTCTGCAACTATTTTTGAATATAATAATTTTAGTTTTGACTCTGGTAACAGTGAGTTTCCATTTATCACATAATTTTCTAAGACATCAATTTGCCTTTATCAGCTGTGCTTGAGAACATGATACTACCATCTGCAAATAAAAAAGTATGAAATTGGATTATCATATATTTCTGTGAATGCATGATCCATTTCATTTTAAGCCATTCATATACGATTTGGACGATTAGCATTTAAACATTTTTTGTATATTGGAAAAATATGATTTTTGATTTGCCATAAGTTGGTCCATATTCACCCAATACCAATTATTGATACACCACTGGAGAGATACTTGTATATGGCTTCCAGTGGTATATCACAAGTCATGATGAGTGGATCACTAGTGAGATGACAACCCAAAAAGTAATCATACCCCCAAGAAATTCCATTCATGTTGTGTCCATTTCGTCTAGCCGATTGACGACCGCCTCCGTGGTCTAGTGGTAGAGTGTCCACCCGGAGATAGGAAGGCCCGGGATTCGATCCCCGGCCGCGTCATACCAAAAGACCCTGATAGATGGTACTTGTTGTTACCCTGCCTGGTGCTCGACATTAAAGGGGCTTAAACAAGGACTGGTCGGCTCGGAGTCGGTTTACTGTGTCTGAGTGGTGTATTCATGTTAAACCGCGGCATGGTATCTGAGTGAGCTAACACTATAAATCGGCATCAGTCCGGACCAGTACAAGCAGCCACACATACACACACACACGCGCGCACGCACGCACGCACGCACGCACGCACGCACACACACACACACACACACACACACACGTGCATGAACGTCCCTATTTAAGTGCAATAACCTTGGACGCGATGTTAAACCCAATTTCCCCTCACCCCACCTAGCCGATTGACACGTTTGTTTTTCAATTGATGAATTGTCAAAAAGCAGACGCATATCCAGTAAAAATTCCCATCCCTGGATACAGGACCCCCTAGACCCAGTCCCTTCCCTCGATCCAGTCCCATAACTAGATCCAGTCCCCTCTCTAGATACAGTCCCCTCCCAAAATCCAGTCCTATCCCCATATCCAGTCCCATCCCTAGATCAAGTCCCTTCGCTAGATACAGTCCGGTCCTCATATCCAGTCCCATCCCCATATCCAGTCCCATCGCTAGATCCAGTCCCATCCCCAAATACAGTCCCATCCCCAAATACAGTCCCATCCCCATATCCAGTCCCATCCCTAGATCCAGTCCAATCCCTAGATCCAGTCAAATCCCTAGATCCAGTCCAATCCCTAGATCCAATCTCATCCCTAGATCCAGTCCCATCCCTAGATCCAGTCCCATCCCCAGATTCAGTCCCATCCCTAGATCCAGTCCAATCCCAAGATGCAGATTCATCCCTAGATCCAGTCCAATCCCTACATCCAGTCCCATCCCTAGATCAAGTCCAATCCCTAGATCAAGACCCATCCCTAGATCAAGACCCATCCCTAGATCAAGTCCCATCCCTAGATCAAATCCCACCACTAGATCCAGTCCCATCGCTAGATCCAGTCTCATCCCCATATCCCTATATCCAGGCCCCTCCTTAGATCCAGTCCCATCATAGGTCCAGTCTCATCCCTAGATCCAATATCATCCCTAGATCCAGTCCCATCCCTAGATCAAGTCCAATCCCTAGATCCAGTCCCATCCCTAGATCCAGTCCAATCCCAAGATGCAGTCTCATCCCTAGATCCAGTCAAATCCCTACATCCAGTCCCATCCCTAGATCAAGTCCAATCCCTAGATCAAGACCCATCCCTAGATCAAGACCCATCCCTAGATCAAGTCCCATCCCTAGATCAAGTCCCATCCCGAAATCCAGTCTCATCCCCAGATTCAGCCCCATCGCTAGATCAAATCCCATCACTAGATCCAGTCCCTTCATAGGTCCCGTCTCTTCCGAGATCCAGTCTCATCCGTAGATCCAGTCTCATCCCTAGATCTGGTCTCATCCCTAGATCCAGTCTCATCCCTAGATCCAGTCTCATCCCTAGATCCGCTCTCTTCCCTAGATCCAGGCCCTCCATAGATCCAGTCCCTTCATAGGTCCCGTCTCAACCGTAGATCCAGCCTCATCCGTAGAACTAGTCCCATCTCTAGATGTGGTCTCATCCCTAGATCCGGTCTCATCCCTAGATCCAGTCCCGTTAACAAAGGTTTTTGTTCAGTACACAACACCATGACCTTATTTTGCAAAAGAAACCCAACCTAACTGAGCCCCGTGGAAACGTATAGGTTAAACGATGATGTTTTTTACGGACGTTATTTATTTTTGATAGACATCATGAGGGAGAAAAGCCCGACTAGATGTGTGAGTGATCTCTTTGTGGGAAAAAAATCCGACTAGATGTGTGAGTTAGCTCCATGAGGGAGAAAAGCCCGAATTGATGTGTGAGTTAGCCCGATTAGATGTGTGAGTTAGCTCCATGTGGGAAGATGGCCGAAGAGGTGTGTGAGTTAGCTCCATGTGGAAGGAAAGCCGAATAGATGTGTGAGTTAGCCCGACTAGATGTGTGAGTTAGCTCCATGTGGGAAGATGGCCGAAGAGGTGTGTGAGTTAGCTCCATGTGGGAAGATGGCCGAAGAGGTGTGTGAGTTAGCTCCATGTGGGAAGATGGCCGAAGAGGTGTGTGAGTTAGCTCCATATGGAAAGAAAGCCGAATAGATGTGTGAGTGAGCTCCATGAGGAATAAAGCCCGACTAGATGTGTGAGTGAGCTCGAATAGATGTGTGAGTAAGTTCCATGTGTGAGGAAAGCCGAACAGATGTGTGAGTTAACTCCATGTGGGAAGAAAGCCGAATAGATGTGTGAGTTAGCTCCATGTGGGAGGAAAGCCGAACAGATGTGTGAGTTAGCTCCATGTGGGAGGAAAGCCGAATAGATGTGGGAGTTAGCTCCATGTGGGAAGAAAGCCGAATAGATGTGTGAGTTAGCTCCATGTGGGAGGAAAGCCGAACAGATGTGTGAGTTAACTCCATGTGGGAAGAAAGCCGAATAGATGTGTGAGTTAGCTCCATGTGGGAGGAAAGCCGAACAGATGTGTGAGTTAACTCCATGTGGGAAGAAAGCCGAATAGATGTGTGAGTTAGCTCCATGTGGGAGGAAAGCCGAATAGATGTGCGACAACGCGACATATTTTGATCTTGAAAAATGTCGTGTTGTCGCACTTTGGTCAAATACAAAAGATTACTCAAAGCGCGACAATGTGACAACGCATGGAGCTAACTCACACATCTATTCATCTATACAAATCTTTCGTCGTTGCGAATTTCTTATGATTATGGAAATTGGTTTTATCAATATTGTAAACATGTAGTTTTTGGTAATAACCAAAATCATGAAATTATTATTATTATTATTGTTGTTGTTGTTGTTGTTGTCAACAATAAATTTGAATAAAACACGTACCACCCACTGCGAGAAACCCTGACTCTGTTCTTACTCAGTGAACAAGTAGGTTTTAAACTGAAGATGGGTTTAGTGAGTGAGTATAGTTTTATGCCGCTCTTAGCAACATTCCAGCAATTCAGATAACGAATAAAAACGTGAGTGAGTGAGTGAGTGAGAGACAACTAGTTTCACTGTCAAGCGAAAATGTACTTCAAGCTGACTTCCGCGTCATACCCAATATACGTCAACAGATTGTTGTTACCTTCCCTGGCATTCGGTATGAAGGGAACATAACAAATACTTGTCAGTATACAATACGACCGCCTCCGTGGCCTAGTGGTAGAGCGTCTGCCTGGAGAACGGAAGGTCGTGGATTCGATCCCCTGGCAACGTCATACAAAAGAAGTAAAAAGATGGTACTTGTTGTTACCCTGCCTGACGCTTTTAAGGGACTAAAACAAGGACTGTTCGTCTCGGCGTCAGTATACTGTGTCAGATGGCAGTATCCATGTTAAAACTGCGGCACGGTATCTCAGTGGGATAGCACCAGAAAACCGACATAAGTACGGACTAGCACAAGCTGCCAAACACGTGCGACCTTTAACCCCATTTCACCCCACATCTTATTGTATGTAAATACAATTTTATTGTATTACATATCAACTTTGTCAATCACGTTTACATAAGTACGTTGCTTTATCCGTACACGTGCTCCTCATAAATCGCAGACCAAGGATGATAATCAGAGGGAGACTGGGATTCGAACCCATACTTGGCGGATCCTGTAACGATGACGTGACCTGGTACATCCTTGGGCTACCCATTCCCAATGGATCAGTGAGTCAGTGAGTTTGGCTTTACGGAAATCTTAGCAATATCAAGGCGAGCGACAACAAAAATTGGTTCACACATTGTATTCATGTGCGAAACAAAACCGGCTACCCCACCTCAATACAACGAATACGGGGCGGTGGGTGGCCTAGTGGTTAAAGCGTTCGCCCGTCACACCGAAGACCTGGCTTCGATTACCGACATGTGTACAATGTGTGAAGCCCATTTCTGGTCTCCCCCGCCGTGATATTGCTGGAATATTGCTAAAAGCGGCGTAAAACAATACTCACTTACTTACAACGAATAAATGAACAGGCTGAAATACCACGAAACTACACATAATGTTCTAAAATTTTTATTAATGCAGATACATAGTAATGCATAGACATTAAGGGCATTTTTTTCCAAGATTATCCTACTCAAATAAAAACACCATTACGTCTTCAGCGACGGCATGCCGTTCCACCGTCGATGTCAGTAACGGCGTACACGTTGTTTACAGGTCTATGCATTCAAGGGTAAGAGGCACACCTCGAAATCGGCGTTGCAGGTGGAATTGACAAAAATTGCATTGTCGGTTATGACGTAGTTGCAGGCTCCTGAGATGCTGTTGTCTTGGAGGACGTTGACGTTGACAACTCTCATGCCGTCGCGGATAGCGACATCTTCGTGTTCTACGTAAACGGGCACATTGACGGAAATATTGAAACATTCTTCTTGTGGTTCTGTCACGGGCGAGAGGCCTATTAAGGATATAAATTATTAAGATATCAAGACTATTGTACATCTGTTACTTCTGCATAGTAATTAGAACTATGGTTATTTACTGTTTCTGTTTGCATGTGTAAACGCAAAAATCCAAAAGAATGTGTTGGGTTTTATCGCTCGTCTTCATTGAATTTCATTGAATTTTTTAATTACAGCTGCAAGTCCATTGCCGGGTAAGTACTCTCTCTCTCTCTCTCTCTCTCTCTCTCTCTCTCTCTCTCTCTCTCTCTCTCTCTCTCTCTCCCCGAAAGGAAAGGAAGCTATGGTGGCGAGTACGTCCAGCGTAATTAGCATACAAGAAGGGACAAAAAAATATATCCTGGATAATCGAAACTATTACTATTTGAGTCGACAGGTTCGAAGAGAAGGAAAGCAATGCTGTTCTACAAATTTGAATTTCATTTCATATTGGGTCGGGCCATCCTACAACCAAGTAGCACACAGAAACACGCGTGAAATAGCCTGCTCAGCTTGATCTCAAAAGAAAACGAAAAGTTCACTATAGTCTTACCTGCAAGCATTAGGTGGCTCAACCCTGTAAATAAAAACAAATAACATTGACAGATATACGAACACATAAAATACAGTAACGATACGTCTCTTCGAACAAAAGCAATAAAATCTTCATAAAATGTTAGTGTGTTGCCGTTTCATTTCACATTGATTATGTACAACTTATTCATAAAATACCAATTGATATTACTTTTTCATGTCTACATTAACAAGATGTTTTAATTTGCTCAAGTATCTCATAAACAAAATGGCAAACAAGATATTTTGTGTATCGGAAATGTACCGTATCGTTTGTTTGTTTGTTTGTTTGATTGTTTAATGTAGCACTCCACAATATTCAAGTTATATGTCGGTGCTCCGTGTAAGAGTGTATCCTGTCCCACCGGTGTCACCCGTCACAAACACATGCAAAGGCAAGTCAATTGAAAATAAATGGTACGCGTCAAAATAGGGAATTCATCGGACATAATTTTGGTCACTGATGAGTCAATATAGGCCTAAAACACCTGTGCATGAATGACTGTACAAAGTCTTATCGTACCATCGTCTTCTAGGTATTCAGACTATGAATAAAAAACCAGCTATTACAACATAATACTATTTTCACATTCCTGTAAATAAAACTTACAAATATATAAATTGTCAATGCAAAAGAATAACCAGTCTAGATTATCCGCCGAAACAGATTAAAAATTGGTGCACAGGGCAAAATAGCTGTGATTATTATATGAATGGACCACTGAAAATCAGTGAGGCGAGGTGAAATGGGATTTAACGTCGCGTCCAAGATTATTACACTTATATAGCGACGTGCATGCACGTGTATGTGTGTGGCTGCTTGTACTAGTCCGGACTGATGCCGATTTATAGTGCTAGCACACTGAGATACCATGCCGCAGTTTAACATGAATACCCCACTCAGACACAGTATACTGACTCCGAGCCGACCAGTCCTTGTTTTAGCCCCTTAATGTCGAGCGCAAGACAGGGTAACAACAAGTACCATCTTTTAACGTCTTTTGGTATGACGCGGTCGGGGATCGAACCCCGGACCTTCCGCTCTCCGGGCGGACGCTCTACCACTAGACCACGGAGGCGGTCGATGGCACTAGGTGGTCGCGAAAAGGGCAAGCATGTCCTGCCCCACCGGTTGCACCCGTCACAAAGACATGTCATGTTACCAACGTTGATACAGAATTCTCTCAATTTTCTCACCCGGATTTTCGCCTTCCTCATCATCATCAGATTCAGTCTCATTGTCATCAGTTTCATCAGTTTCATCGCCCTCACCAATAGCTGGAAGCACATTTAACAAAGAAAGGTCGCTGAATAATGCCCAACTTTGTACTTAACTGGAACCAGGAACAGTGTGCAGAAACCTTAAGCTTCTTTCGGTTGCATTTAGAAGTTTGTATGATGGAGAGATAGTTGTATGGATATACAAGTTGTTGTTTGTTCTTTAACTCCGCACTCAGCAATATTCCTGCTATATGACGGCGGTCTGTAAATAATCGAGTCTGGACCTGACAATCTAGTGATTGATATAATGATCCATGCAATTGGGATCGATGACACGCATCAACCGAATCAGCGAGCCTGACCAACCGATCCCGTTATTCGCCTCTTACGACAAGCACAGTCGCCTTTTACGGCAAGTATTGGTTGCTGAAGACCTATTCTACCCCGGATCTTCACGGGTCATAAAGAAAGTGTATGTCCCTAGAACTATATCACTTCTTCCATGTTGAGATGCGAAGCAGATTCCCGAGAAATAATTATTTTCACACACGGTTTTGGCCTTACAAGGTATGTTTTAGAGTGTCTGCTTTCAATGAGTTATTAATACGGGCTTCGTGCGATCATATATTTCACAACGGTAAGATGCAACAAATACCACATTAATGTATCAGTATTGGTCACAGAAAGGGCCAACATCCAAGTAAGATTTTGCTTGTTGTTAAACGCATCACTTAGCAATATTCCAGCTATATGATGGCGGGCTGTAAATAATCACGTCCGGATCAAACGAGTGGTTTATGTTTTGAGCAACGACAAGCAGCCAACCAAGTCCCTGAGCACGACAACCGATTCATTAAGTCGCCTCGTACGACAAGAATAGGTTGCTTGAAATCAATTCTAACCCGGAATCACATCGGGGCTCCAAGTAAGACAACCTAGAGAATATTACAAGACCTTTCCATATTCGTTGTTAGGTCATGAGGTAAAATATATGATTAAAGCTTAACTGTAATATATTTCAAAGAAAATATTGTCCTGTTTAATCAGCGAGGACAATAGTCAGTGATAACAGAGGAGTGAGTTGGGTTTAACGCCGCTTTTAACAGTATTCCAGTTATATTGCGGCGTGTCAGCTTAAAGCTGGAGGAAAGCCCGATGTGCTGCAGGTCTCAGACGTTTACCACTTCGATGAAATCCACGAGCACGGGTATGGTGCTGACAAACATGGAAACATAATCGGAGCGAACCGGGATTCGAACCCACAATCATAGGATTCTGGTGTGCGGACGTGACAGCGTATTGCGGTGTGACTAAGCTAAGATATTGATTATTGCATAGATTCGTGTAAAGGTTCTCTTGGATAATATTCAAATCGATAATTAAAAACACTTACGACTCCTGAGATTGAGGGCGAAGGCCAATGGCGAACCTGTGAAATAAAACACGCACATACAAAAATATAAACAGACGTATAAACATTTACACAAAAAAGTTGTAAACAGTTCGAAGCACAATTCTCTGTGTGTCAAAGGATGAGTAACAGTGAGGGTTGTTTCCCCCTACAGCAAGCGCACCATGTTTTGGAAATATATTAACAAGAATTGTACACATTTGGCTTTAAAATGTTAGACATCCCCAGGAACCATTTTTCCAGTACTAAAACTAGACTTTGACCAGATGTTGATGCTGTAAAGACGGTGAGAATATATGGTAAAAAAATCCTCTTTCTCATTGTTAAACGTTATGTTGAACTTCGAAAAATCAGACTTTTTTACTCATATTAACCATACGTTTGTCTTTGACCATGACGAAAGTCAGAAACTAGCCAGTCATAAACGCTATTCCATTTCAGAATTCCGTCTACAATGTCAGTAAGGCAATCGAAGATCACCAACAAAAGGGCAATACTGAAGTTTAACACACTTTTGTTCCGTTTTGTTGTCAAGATGGACATGCATTATTGAACCTCACCATCTTACTGGAGTTTTTAAAATTGAATTTACAATTCTGAGGTTAAGCTTCAGCACAATTTCAGAACCGTGAAGATCCGGGGTAGAATAGGTCTTCAGCAACCTATGCTTACCGTAACAGGCGACTATACCAAGTCAGTGAACTGACCACCGATCCCGTGAGCCGCCTTTTACGGCTAGCATGGGTTGCTGAAGACCCATCTACCCCGGATATTCATGGGACCGGATATTCACACGATGAAGCAGTCAGCCACGTCTATCATTGTAACTCCCGATCCTATTTAAGTATTTAGTATATAGTTAATTGCCTCTTGCAATAAGTTTCTATTGCCCCAGAACCCAAAATGGTTAAACATAGAAACTAGTCTATACTTACACAGCAAGACGAGCAGGCAGAGATGTTTCTGAGGCATTGTTAGTTGTTCTGGTATTGTAATTTCAGGTACAGCGTTTCAATCCACTACCTTTATATACATTTCACTCAAGTATATTTAACTTTATGTCGACACGAAGTACAACAACATTGCACGCTTTGTTTGGATATTAGCTTGTTATTCTTAGTCTTGTCATAAACTGTCCTGGGTTAATTCGCTGTTTGGGTTTCGCTTTAATGCTCCTTGAGAATGAATTTCATGTGTAGCAAGACATGTAATATTTGAGGAACAATTGACATTAAATTTATCTCACATTAAAGTTCACAGAGATGTGAGGATGTCAAATGTTTATGAGAGTCAAGAGGTGAATGTATTGATTTGGGGAGATATAAAGATAAGGATCGTCGCCCCGTGTCATAAGGTTAATAGCATTGCGTCACGTGTTACAGTTCTCTTTCTATTGCCAACTCTCTGTGAAGAAATGACGCTATCTGTGACGGGTGGTGTATTTGATATCCGTGAATTTGTCCTACTTTTAATCGCTGACTCGAAATGGTCCCTGCTCTAAATAAGGCAACTAAATAAATAATACCAACAAAGTGTATTGAACTACGTGTGACACGGGAGTTATGCGTGCTTGTCTTAGGAGTCTTAATTCTTTGAAATGAATGTTGACGAGAATGTAGAGATAATGATTATTTAATTTCCTAGACAAAATGTGAATAAAATTCAAACAATAAACAATGAAACTTCTGAAACGTGTAGCTCAAATGCAATGGTATTTCCAAATATGCAAAATATATGACAAGTGCTTTATTTATTTTTTTTAAAGTGTTTGTTCTGTCGTTCGGTTTCAGTGACAAAGGCACCCAGATACCAAATATACTACGTCCGTAGCAATTATATCTGCACAGGAACGTTGTACAAATACGCCAATACGTTTTCGAACTTGGAATTATTTGGTTACCATCAAACGGCGCACTTGCCATCATGTCAGCTATATATATGACTGTAAATAATCAAATCAGGCACGCCAGTAGTTGACTACATGTACAAGCCACGCCGTTGAGGCACGATGTCACATCTGATCAAATGTAAAGCGATGAAGTGTGGGGAACCTGACACGGGTGCAAAACCGTAAGAAAAAATGATGAAACATGTTTTTAACAATCCAAAAGAGCAAAACAGATCAAATGTAGCATATATGGTTAAAATGCTTGTACGTGTTAATTCCACAGAAGTTATCTACGGTCGAGGATCTAGGTAAAAACGTAATACATTTACTGCTAAAATCAAATCATACTGCTAAAATCAAATCATATTGAAAACCTTTCAGTAAACTTTCAGCTGAGAATAGAATGAAGGACATAAATAGAAAATACAACACTCATTTTTGTTAGATAAAAGGGAAAGTTCATGAGTGCAAACAACAGCACCAACGCTAAAGATCCTTTTTAAAGACTTTTTTTCAAAAATTGATAATTCAAGCGCATTGTTGTTAGTAAGAAAACTGTAAGAAAACTTAAAAAGTTAATTAGCGCGGCGCTTTGAATCTAGGACCAACAGTCGGTCGCTAGTCCGAGGGGTCCCGGCTATGCAATCAAAATTGTTCGGTTTCCTTGATCTATCAGCCGAATTTATGTCCTGTCCGTACCATTTTGGAAGAAGGACATCAAAGTTCATGTTCAGACGTTCATGTTTTCTCTACGACCCTATACGGAAGACGTGAAAATAAAAAATCTCTCAAGTCTGCTTGCATGTTAGTGACAGCTTCGAACGAAAGGCAAAGTCACCATCGGAACAAGAAAGACAACCGTGATCTACTCACAGCGTTTAACGCTAGAGATCAATAGGGATTGTTCACATTTGATGTTTTTGGGGCGACATAAACAGAAGTTAGGCAAATTTCGACGGTTTGTAGAATGGTTTGTATCGAAATTGTCCACTTTTAGTGATCTGGTCGTGCAGTCGTGTACGTTCATCCATAAACAAATACCTCCCGAAAGAGTGCCACAAAATACGCTTCGAAGGGGACACTGGTGGCACAACCGTAGCATCAAACGTAAGTCCAGATATACAGTTTAAAATGACTTCATTTCACCACCCTTAACCAATTACGTTAAATCAGAATGAAAGTCGCGCACGGGGTCGAGTGTGTCGAGTGGTCCATCGAGCTATCGATCAGCAGTCGTACATTACAAATCGAGATAGCTCGATTATGTAATGTCTGTAGTAGCTCTATACATAACTAATATAGAACGCAAAGCGAATTTGATGCGTGTCACTATCTTGTTAGGTTTAATAAAATGTTTGTAAATGTCTTTTGCTTCCATGAGATTCCCTCAGCTCTGCCTTGTAGTTGTAAAACGTTTTGTACAGGTGATTAACATCTCGTTTTAAGAATGAAAAAAGTAGTTCCGGTGTGACAGAGGTCACAGTTTTCCAATCAAAACGAATAAAGCGATGTCAGCCTTGTACGACAAAGATGTGACGTATTGACTTAGTATCTCACAACCTGTGCAATAACCCCGTGGGTAATCAAAGCAGCAAAGGAATGGGTAGATTCGTCTGGCCGTCGTACCGGTAGGGCAGGACATGCTTGCCCTTTTCGCGAACACCTGGTGTCATCACTGAATATCAGTGATCTATTCATAGAACATGAAACAACAACGTTACCTCTGGCTCTGGATGATCTTGTCGTTTCGACCTTCGGAATGAAAACAATGACTATCTCGCTGGTAAATAGAAATGTATAGGGTTGGTTGGTTTGTTGTTTAACGCCGCACTTAGCAATATTCCAGCTATATGACTGCGGTCTGTAAATAATCGAGTCTGGACCAGACGATCCAGTGATTAATATCATGAGCATCGGTATCATGATTCGTAATAATGAAGATATAAAAGGTATACTTCTACACGATATTGAACACACATTGGCCCAATATGCTGATGACACCCAACTTTTTTAGATGGCTCGGAAAAATCATTAAAATCAGCCATGGATACACTTGAAACTTTTTACAAAATCTCAGGATTAAAAATGAACTTTGAAAAAACCAAAACAATATGGATAGGCAGTATGGCTGGTAGTAAAGTCCGATTTTGTCCTAACTTAAAGCTAGATTGGCATGATGGCAACTTTGAAGTTTTTGGCATATGTTTTAATGTTGACTTAAAAGACCTTTGGGTAATCAACACTAAAAAACGCCTTGATAATATGTATGGTATTAAAAGCAAATGGAAAAAACGTAATTTGACTTTGATGGGTAAAATAACAGTTGTTAAGACTTTTTTAAAAAGATATTGCGAAAAAAACATTAATTATGACCTTGCTGGTTTTCAGCTGGCTCATATCTACACTTTAGGTGCCAGTTTGCACAAGAATTGGGAAATTGTAAATCCTTTCATGAAAGATACCCTTATAGCCTGGAGTGACTTTATGCATTCATATGATTTTGAAGACTTAGAAAAAGCAGAAATTGCTTCCCAACCCATATGGTTAAACCATTATTTTAGAGAACCAGTATTGATTTTTAATGACTGGTTTAAAAAAGGTATAGTTACGATGAAAGACTTGTATGATGAAAACGGATGGATCCCTTTCCCACGTTTACAACAACTTTATGATCTCAAAGGAACTTTTCTCGACTATAACCGTATGTTTTTTAATATTCCAAGAAGTTGGAGACAAAATATTGATACAAATCTACATTCCTCTTCTAATCTCACAGTATCTCCTTGGATTTATGATCTTACACGTTCTATTAAAGGAACAAAAGTGTTTTATAATAAACTGATAGGGAATTCCCACCCTCTCCCTAAATCTTGTTTGAAATGGGAAAATCAGCTGGGATGTTCTTTTCCATGGAATCAAATATTCAGTGTATATTGCCGTGGGTTAAGGGACACAAAACACAGGGATTTCCAGTTTAGATTTATTCATAAAGTAATATTTACTAAACGTGAGTTATTTAGAATGAAACTTATTGATAACGATGAGTGTTCTATGTGTCATACTCACAAAGAAAATGTTTTTCATGTTTATATTGAATGTCATGTTGTTAAGAATTTCTGGTCAGATTTCTGTATTTACTTGACTCATATCTTGCATAGAAAAATCCTTATAACTGACAACGAGCTCCTCTTTGGTACCTCTGATGTATTAATTAACCATTTGATTGTAGCTGCTAAAAGATTTATCTTTGTCCAGTGTATTTAGAATGAAAAGGTTGACTTTGTTGCTTTTAAGAACACAATAAGAAGTATCTATGACGTTGAATATCATATTGCACGTAGAAATAACGACTTCTCTGCCTTTAATAGAAAATGGGCTTTGTTTACTCAAACTGTAAAATAACTTATTCACTTGATGTTTGCAACATAATTTGATGTACCATAAATACTGCATCTTCTTAATTGTATACATAAATATGCCGTCATCTGTTCCATGATGTGGATTATGCCTTCATCTGTACCATGATGTGGATTATGCCTTAGGCCTCCTCTGTACAATATCCTTTTGAGAAGTACCAGTATTCATGAAGCTGTATTGCTTTCCGAGTGCATATGTATTCTGTGTATATGACTGAATAAAAATGTATAAAAAACAAACAAACTCAACTGACCAAAAAAAATAAAAAAAATAAAATAAAATATCATGAGCATCGATCCACGCAATTGGGATCGATGACATGCATCAACCAAGTCAGCGAGCCTGACCACCCGATCCCGTTAGTCGCCTTTTACGACAAGCATAGTCACCTCTTACGACAAGCATAGTCACCTTTTACGGCAAGCATGGGTTGCTGAAGACCTATTCTACCCCGGAATCTACACGGGTCGAAATGTATAGGGTGTATGCCCGGTAGGATGAGATGGTAATGTGTTAACCTTCTAGCCTCACAGGAAGCTTGGGCGTATACTCCGAAGGGAGCTGAGAATTAAAAAAACCGATTGCACACTGATCCATTGACCGGGGAAATGACAATGTAGCGCTCGAACACACATTGCGTACTGAGTAATGCCCTTTACAAACGTATGATTTAAAAGAAAACCTCCTAT